TTCTTATTTTTGGTTTTATATTGAAAAACTAAAGAACGAATGACACACGGACTGTTGGAGTTCAGGTGAGTCGGGTCTTTCTGGTCGAGTTGCGTTAAAACAAAACTCAGGTGAAAGTCTGACGGAGCCTCAGACAGAGCAGTGCCTCAGGTTAGCGTCAAACCCCCCGAGCTCTCGGATGACGTCAGCTGAAAAGAATCAAAACAAACCCGGCGCCATGTTGTGTTTTGTAATTGCAGCAGAGTTATGTCAGGTTTTTCTTTACCAGGAAATAAAAGGTACTTTCCTGTTTATCTCAAATAAAACTCGTCTCGTGTGGAAAATAAACACTGAAGAATAATTCCAACGTCTCCCGTTTAAAAATGTTTATTTACTTCACTGCGCTTCACTTTTTTAATGTTTATTTGGTCATTTTGTACTAAACTAAACTTAAAAACTCTCCTGCTGTGACGTGTTTTCCGCAGCAGAGGGCGCTGTCGTACAGAAACGTAACGATGAAGTCATTTGTTACGCAACTTGACAACGAGGCGAGTTTATTTTATTATTTTTTTTAGCAGAGTTCGTACACAAAGTAATAAGAAACACAATAAAATCACAATACAAAATATAATACATAAATAATTATAAAAAAAATAAAATAAAAAAATAATATATAATTATCTATTATAATAATAAATAATAAATAAATAATAAGTAAATAATTATTTAAAAAAATCTAAGTACTGCGTTTCGTCAGTGATTACTCCAATACAAATAAAAATACTTCTGTCATATTACTAGAAGTACTAAACTGAACAACGTTGGAAGAAGTACTCAGTTTTGTTAGTAAAAGTACAAATACTTGAGCAAAACAAATAAAAAATATCTAAAAAATAAATAAAAGTAATCAGCCAGTATCACATAAAAGTAAAAGTATTAAAGTACAGGATTAAAAAAGTACTTAAAGAGTAAAAAAAGTAAAAGTAAAAGTATTCACACAGATGCTGAGATATTATAAAGGTTTTTATCTGTATTTTTTTTTTTTTTTTTTTGTTTCCTCAAACTATAAATGTGTTAAAATAAACCTTAAAAAAATACTTTTACTTTTCAGTCCTGGTTCAAAATGTACTGCAGTAGAAAGTACAAATACCTGCTCTCAAACGCAGTGAAGTAAAAGTAAAAAGTATCCAGAGTACACACTCCGTTTACTTAAATAAAGTACAGGTACATAAAATTGTAATAGAGAAATGACTTAAGTATTGAAAGTACTTTTTTTTTTTTTGAATACGAATAATTAAGTGTTGGGAATAAGTTTACAGCTCCAGAAAAAAACAAACCAAAACAAAAAAAACAGGTAATAATAAAACAAGAAACAATAATAAATAAATAAAACAACTCAACTTTTACTGTTAATGAGCCCGAGCGAAACAACCAAAACTCTGACCAAACCAGGACTAAACCTGGACTAAACCAGGACTAAACCAGATCTAAACCAGGTCTAAACCAGGTCTAAACCAGGAACCAGGTCTAAACCAGGACTAAAATAAACCAGGTCTAAACTAAATCAGGTCTAAACCAGGTCTAAACCAGGACTAAACCAGGACTAAACCAGATCTAAACCAGGTCTAAACCAGATCTAAACCTGGTCTAAACCAGGTCTAAACCCAGGTCTAAACCAGGTCTAAACCAGGTCTAATTCAGGACTAAACTAAACCAGGTCTAACATAAACCAGGTCTAAACTAAATCAGGTCTAAACCAGGTCTAAACCAGGTATAAACTAAACCAGGACTAAACCAGGTCTAATTCAGGACTAAACTAAACCAGGTCTAAACCAGATCTGAACCAGGTCTAAACAGGGACAGAACCAGGTCTAAAGTCTAAACCAGATCCAAACTAAACCAGGTCTAAACCAGGTGTAAACAGAACCGTCGTGAGTCTGGATTTTCTGTTCAACTCTTAAACTCTGCGAAAGAAAATCTAAAACCTAAAAAGAAACATTCAACATCAGGTTTATTTTTTATATTTTCTGCTGCGTAGTAACCCCCCCCCCCCCGGAACATTTTATTTTACTTTCACTTTCAACCTCAGTCACATTCAGACCCGAGCCGCCTCGAGTCACTCCGCATTTACGCAACCGAACCTGAGCCTCATACTCCGGAACATTCTCACGGACAGCACCATGGACTCTCGACTGTTTTTGTCTGTTTTGGTGTTGGTGCTTTACGTCGATCTGAGCTTCTGCAAAAACTGTGAGTATTTTTTTTGTTTTTACGCGTCGCGGAGCAGCTCGAGCCTAAAATGGCGTCGTCGTCAGTCGTTGTTGTTGTTTTATTTCCTCGTAAGCTCCAAAGTTTGCTCCGCGTTATTTCGCTGTAACCCGCTTCATTTAGCCACGTCTGCGTGTGTTTCCACGACGTATAACGAGATTTGACGCAGATTTAGACCAAAGTTTTCGTTATAATAATTCGTCTTTACGGAGTTTTATGATTCTGTCCAATGTCCGAACTGCGCAGATGATTTTATTGACGTGTTTTGTGTTTTCATATTTTACGTCAAAAACGCCTAAATAAACGTGAATTTATTGTTTCTTTTTATTTATAACGTAACTAAACTAAACGTAGATTGTCGTTGGCTCATTTAATAACAGATTTAATCACATTTACGGAAGATTCAATACGTCATTACGTCATTACGTCGCAGAGGAAGCGAGTACTCGCAGGTACTTTGACTTTTTAAAGAAATAGTACTTTTCAAAGTACTTTTCTAACAGTGTACTCCGAGTCCAGGACTAAACCAGAACTAAACCAGGTCTAAATCAGGACTAAACCAGAACTAAACCAGAACTAAACCAGGTCTAAACCAGAACTAAACCAGGTCTAAACCAGGACTAAACCAGAACTAAACCAGGTCTAAATCAGGACTAAACCAGAACTAAACCAGAACTAAACCAGGACTAAACAGGACTAAAACCAGAACTAAACCAGGACTAACAAGAACTAAAACAAACTAAACAGAACTAAACCAGGACTAACAAGAACTAAACAAGAACTAAACAAGGAACTAAACCAGGACTAAACCAGGACTAAACCAGGTCTAAATCAGGTCTAAACCAGTAACAAGAACTAAACCAGGAAACTAAACAAGAACTAAACAGACTAAACCAGGACTAAAAACTAAACAGGACTAAACCAGGTCTAAACCAGGACTAAACCAGGTCTAAACCAGAACTAAACCAGAACTAAACCAGGACTAAACCAGGACTAAACAAGGACTAAACCGGGTCTAAACCGGGTCTAAACCAGGACTAAACCAGGTCTAAACCAGGACTAAACAAGAACTAAACCAGGACTAAACCAGAATTAAACCAGGTCTAAACCAGAAAACTAAACACAGAACTAAACCAGGAACTAAACAGGACTAAACCAGGACTAAACCAGGACTAAACCAGGACTAAACCAGGGCTAAACCAGGACTAAACCAGGTCCATATGTGTGTTCTAGTCTCTGTGTCTTATTCTTGTTCTGATCCAACTTCAGGTCGTTCTAAACTCATTCAGGAAAAGTTCTAAAAGTTCTAAAGGTTCTAAAGTTCTAAAGGTTCTAAAGGTTCTGCTCTGTTTTGAAGTTGGGAGGTTTTTAGGATCCAGACCTGAGGAACATGAGGATCTGGTCTGGATGTTCTGGTTCAGGACGGATTAGCGTCTGATTTTGGGTCCAAACTTCGGTGTGACGCTCGGGTGGAAGAATGTGGCAGGGCCGGTCCTGCCGCGGAACGACCCATGACCAGAATGGAATTTATTGATGTTTCACTCGACGTTTGAAATCGAGGCTCAAAAGAATCGACGATCAGATTTTAAAACGAGTGTCAAAACTAGATCCCCATTTTTCACCGATATCGATACTAAAAATAGTTTAGTCCTGGTTTAGTCCTGGTTTAGTCCTGGTTTAGTCCTGGTTTAGTTTAGTCCTGGTTTAGTCCTGGTTTAGTCCTGGTTTTAGTCCTGGTTTAGTCCTGGTTTACTGGTTTAGTCCTGGTTTAGTCCTGGTTTAGACCTGGTTTAGTCCTTAGTCCTGGTTTAGACCTGGTTTAGTTTAGTCCTGGTTTAGTCCTGGTTTAGACCTGGTTAGTCCTGGTTTACCTGGTTTAGACCTGGTTTAGTCCTGGTTTAGTCCTGGTTTAGTCCTGGTTTAGTCCTGTTTTTAGTCCTGTTTAGTCCTGGTTTAGTCCTGGTTTAGTCCTGGTTTAGTCCTGGTTCAGTCCTGGTTTAGTCCGGTTTACTGGTTTAGTCCTGGTTTAGTCCTGGTTTAGTCCTGGTTTAGTCCTGGTTTAGACCTAGTGGTTTAGTCCTGGTTTAGTCCTGGTTTAGTTTAGTCCTGGTTTACTGGTTTAGTCCTGGTTTAGTCCTGGTTTAGTCCTGGTTTAGTCCTGGTCCTTTCAGTCCTGTTCAGTTTAGTCCTGGTTTAGTCCTGGTTTAGTCCTGGTTTAGTTTCCTGGTTTAGTCCTGGTTTACCTGGTTTTCCTGGTTTAGACCTGGTTTAGTCCTGGTTTAGTCCTGGTTTAGTCCTGGTTTAGTCCTGGTTTAGACCTTGTGTGTTTGATGTTTGCAGCGGCTCCCAAAGTGCAGATCTACACTCGAGATCCTGGACACTACGACAAACCCAACATCCTGATCTGCCACGTGAGCGGGTTTTACCCCCCGGAACTCGACCTGAAGCTCCTGAGGAACAACGAGGAAATCAAAGGCGCCAACCAGACCGACCTGGCCTTCGAGGAGGACTGGTACTACCACCTGACCAAGCACGCCCACTTCCACCCCAAGAAGGGAGACAAGTTCACCTGCGCCGTCACACACCTGGGCAAGACCACCAGACACCACTGGGTAAGGACCAGGACTGGACCAGGACCAGGACTGGACCAGGACCAGGACTGGACCAGGACCAGGACTAGACCAGGACTGGACCAGGACCAGGACTAAACCAGGACCAGGACTGGACCAGGACCAGGACTGGACAGGACCAGGACCAGGACTGGACCAGACTGACCAGGACTGGACCAGGACCAGGACTCAGGACCAGGACTGGACCAGGACCAGGACTAAACCAGGACCAGGACTAGACCAGGACCAGGACTGGACCAGGACCAGGACTAAACCAGGACCAGGACCAGGACTGGACCAGGACTGGACCAGGACCAGGACTAAACCAGGACCAGGACCAGACTGGACCAGGACTGGACCAGGACTGGACCAGGACTGAACCAGGACCAGAACCAGGACTGGACCAGGACTGGACCAGGACTGGACCAGGACCGGACCAGGACAGGACCAGGACTATACTAGGAGAAGGACTGGACCAGGACTAGACCAGGACTAGACCAGGACTAGACCAGGACTAGACCAGGACCAGAACCAGGACTAGACCAGGACCAGCACTGGACCAGGAGTAAAACAGGTCTAAACCAGGACTAAACCAGTACCAGGACTGGACCAGAACTAGACTAGGAGAAGGACCGGACCAGGACTAAAACAGGACTGAACCAGGTCTAAACCCGAACCAGGACTAGACCAGGACTAGACCAGAGCTGAACCAGAGCTGAACAAGGACTAAACCAGGACTAAACCAGAACTAAACCAGGACTAAACCTAAGGCTGTTTAAATGTCTAAAACTAATCAAAGTCTTTTCTCTGTTGCAGAACCGGACATGTAACTCCAGGTAACTCATTTTCTGTTTTACTTTTACACCATTTCAAACTTAAAATGCTTTCGACAGGTTTTTAAACATCTCTAACTTTGGCTCTGGTGAAAAAAGTCTAAAGTCTAAAGTCCGATTCGTTCATGACGACAGGCCTCTGTTTAGACGTGCTTTGTTTGTTGAACTCCATAAATGTAAAAGTGAATCAGATGTGTGTGACTCAAACCTCCGTTCAAACTGTTTCTCTTCCCGACGGAATTGAAAAATAGTGAAAGGTGAAGGTGATGGGCAGGACTGATCCACAGGAAGAACCAAAAAGGAAACTTGAATCTTGAATCTTGAATGAATGTTTATTCGGACAGTAATACATAGAACATAAATAAAAAACTTAAATACATAAATACAACACAAAAAGTAAATATTTCTATTCTATAATAACAGGCAAAATAAATGTTACGCTGAATTTTCCTTGTGTCCGAAAAAGGAGTGGGAGGAAGTAAATACTTATTTAACCCCACCCCTTTTTCTACCGTCCCAAATGAACAAAGAACATACAGACTTCTCATTTCCTGTACAATATAAGCAATAATTGCTCGGCTCCGTCTCCACATCCACACTTTCCTTTCAACAAAACACCACGACCAAAAACCTGGTCCTTCTCCTTCTCAATCTCCTCCTTAAAACAAGTCAGTTGTTCATGTTGTGGCTCCGGTACGAGAGGAACTTTAAAATCTCCAGGTGCTCGATGCTGCGTCCATGTTTGTTCAACTTGTGTAAACACAGAGACGCTCGCTGCGGTTGACGTCGTCGTGTCTCCAGTGTCACATGTGAGAAACTTTTATGACACGTTTAATGTTCACACTGGAGTCACATACGAGTCAAATCAAATCAAATGTATTTGTATAGCACATTTAAAACAGCCAAAGCTTACCAAAGTGCTGAACAATTAAATAAAACATACAGTTGACAAAGCAATGACAATAGTTTATATATATATAAAATAACAGCAAGGTGCCAAGGTGTCGCTTTCTAACTCTAGACAAATGCCAGGGAGAAAAGGTGCGTTTTGAGCAAGGATTTAAAGTGCTCCAGTGTTTGGGCAAAGTGTTCCACAGTCGTGGACCAACCACAGACAAGGCCCTGTCTCCTCTGGTCCTCAGCCTGGTCCTGGGGACAACCAGAAGGAGCTGGTCTGCAGAGCGTAGACCTCTGGATGGAACACGTGGCTGAAGGAGTTCAAATAAATAGGAAGGTGCCATTCCATTAAGACTCTTAAAAACAGTCATTAAAATTTTAAAATGGATTCTAAAATGTACAGGGAGCCAATGCGGGGATTTAAGAACAGGAGCGATGTGGTCCCTCCGCTTCTTTCCAGTTAAAAGGCGAGCTGCTGCATTTTGGACCCCATATACCCCCACATACAAGTCACATTTAATTGGAAATGTGAATGACCTCGCAAAAATATTGGATTTCACAAAAAAAAAAATCCAAATTGAGCGTTAAGCCCTGCAGTCTGAACGTAGACTACGTTCAGACTGCAGGGCTTAACGCTTGTCTCCAGTGTGAACGTTAAACGACCCAAAAGTGTCCCACATGTGACACTGGAGACACGACGACGTCAACCGCAGCGAGCGTCTCTGTGTTTACACAAGTTGAACAAACATGGACGCAGCATCGAGCACCTGGAGATTTTAAAGTTCCTCTCGTACCGGAGCCACAACATGAACAACTGACTTGTTTTAAGGAGGAGATTGAGAAGGAGAAGGACCAGGTTTTTGGTGGTGGTGTTTTGTGGTGAGTGGAGATGTGCTTCACTTCAGTCACACTGAGTTCATGAACAATTTTCTCCTACTTCAGAGCAGAATAGTGACGTTTGTGTCTTGTTGATAACGTGTAGGTGGATGAATGCACTTTGACCGTTCAGACTGAAGTCACATGTTAAAGATCAGATATGTGTCAGTTTCAGGAGCACAGATCCAAGTGTCCTGGTCACATTTGAAAAAATCGGATCTGTGTGGTTCAGACTGACATTAAAAGATCAGATACAGGAACATAGAGACAAAAAAATCAGATTTGGGTCACTTCAGGTGCAGACTGAACGTAGACTTAGTAAAGTGAGTTTTTAAACTTGTCGTCGTTGAAACGTCACATTAAACAAACTCTTTCTTTTTCTCTCTGTTGTGTTGAAACAGCCGGAGCTCAGACCTGCCTTCAATGTGATCGCTGCACTTTGCCTTTGGGGTTTTCTCAATCAGGATGAAATGGATTTGTAAATATGTTGGTGCCTTTTTGGGTTTAAAGTTTGGATGATTTTATTTTTAATTTTAGACTCAGAAAGCTTTTGCTATTACTATGTACTAGAAGAAATGTGGTGTTTTTGCCTAAATCTGCTGTTGGAGAAACGAGGGGAGCGAGTGTGTGACCGTGTGCGTCCGAGTTTGCTGAATTCAGGAAGAAGAAATTGGAATTGAGCAAAGTCTTCCTTTTTCTAACTCTGTTTCTCATCGAAAAAAAAAACACGTCTGAAGAGTTTTTTTTTTTTTTACAAAACAAAAATGCCGGTAATGAGAATCTGGAAGATCATTTAATCCGTGTGTCGTTCGTTCGTTTGTTTTTCAAAATAAAACCAAAAATAAGAAAACGACAAAACAACTATTTTGTCAAAACCAAAATGAAAAAAAAACAGATAATGATTCATTTTATTCAGTTTTCGATTTTGTGTTTAAATGAAAAATGGAAAAAAAACCCAGATAAAGACGTTTTCTGTTTACGTGACTTAAACTGCGATGCCGGACTGAACCAGGACTAAACCGTTTTCAGTCCTGAGTCTGGTCCCAGTCTCAGTCCTGGTCCCAGTCTCAGTCCTGGTCCCAGTCTTGGTCTGGTCCCAGTCCTGGTTCAGTCCGGCATTGCAGTCACGGAAGTCACGTTGTTATCCTTTTTTTTTTTCCATTTTTCATTTAAACACAAAATCGAAAAATGAAAAAACGAATCATTATCTGTTTTTTTCATTTTGATTTTGGAGACAAATAATGACGAAAATGGCTGTTTTTTTGTTTTCTTATTTTTGGTTTTATAATGAAAAACAAATGAACGAACGACACGCGGATTTAATTTGTTTCATCAGATTTTGAATTTGAAACGCCACATTTCTCACTTTGAAATGTTTTAACTGTGTGAATTTTTTTTTTTTTTTCCGAATTTCAGCTGATGAAATTTTACGTGTACATTTTCAGTGTTTAATGTTCAATAAACATTCAGCACAAATATTTTTCAAGGCCTCAAATTCAACGGTCGGAATTCAGCGAGTGAAAAATGATCGTTTGCTTCTGCCTCGACGTCTTGGATTTTTGCCACGAAATTTTACGCTCTGAATTTTGAGACTTGAAAGTGTCTGAACTGAATATTTATACTATATATTAATGTGAAATTTTTATTCTCAATTCAAAACAGATTGAAAATGTACAATGACTCAACTTCAGAATAGAAATTCAAACGTGTTTTTTCAGAGTAAAAAAAAAAAAAACGCAATCTGAGAAATTCAGCGCGATTTAAAATTCAAAATCTGATGGGACAAACGATGTTCCGTAACAGAGCTGCTCATTTTAGGGGCCGCAAGAAATTGAGATGATTATAAGTTTGATGAAGTTGGGCTTCAGAATTATACATTTGCAAAAATCATAAACAAATAGTTCTGAAATGTGATTATTTTATTACTTTGTTCAGTTCAGATTTCAATATTTTTGTCATATTTAATTTTTTTTAATTTATTTTTTTGTTTAAAACGTGAAACTTTGAACAGAATCCTTTTATTAAAACGTAAATACCACTGCGTTATCCAAACCGACGGATGCGCTGTTAAAGAAGAAGAAAAAAAAAAAAAAGAGAGAGAGAGACGATTCAGATCAGTCATTTTAAAAACACTGGCACATATTAAAGACTGACCCAGAATTGTCCCTGATACTTAAAGCTCCACGTCTGTTTACGTAGCGAAGAGGCGGAAATCTGTGAGACGCTTTTGTACATTCAGACTTACATATATCCCACGAGGGGACTGAACACTGGACGCACAAACTCTCCGTGCCCCTGTTCTTTAAGGCAGTTCTAGATGTGGTAGCTGGGTTACACCCTTATCACCAGAAGGCCCCCTAGTCAGAAAGCCCACTAGTCAGAAAGCCCACTAGTCAGAAAGCCCACTAGTCAGAAAGCCCACTAGTCAGAAAGCTCTCTAGTCAGAAAGCCCACTAGTCAGAAAGCCCACTAGTCAGAAAGCTCTCTAGTCAGAAAGCCCACTAGTCAGAAAGCCCACTAGTCAGAAAGCCCCCTAGTCAGAAAGCCCCCTAGTCAGAAAGCCCACTAGTCAGAAAGCCCCCTAGTCAGAAAGCCCCCTAGTCAGAAAGCCCCCTAGTCAGAAAGCCCACTAGTCAGAAAGCCCACTAGTCAGAAAGCCCCCTAGTCAGAAAGCCCCCTAGTCAGAAATCCCCCTAGTCAGAAATCCCCCTAGTCAGAAAGTCCACTAGTCAGAAAGCCCACTAGTCAGAAGGCCCTGTAGTCAGAAAATCATTACCTAACCCTCTAACCCTAATCCTCTAACCCATGGGTGTCAAACATATGGCCCACGGGCCAGATCCGGCCCTCCAAGACCTTTAATGTGGCCCTCGGCTGATTTTCTACTAAAATATTTTAATTATATTTTCTATTAAAATCTTGTTAATTTTCTGCAGTGTTTATCACAGCAGCGTCTCCAGCGTCTCTGTACGTGGCCCCTCCCACCAGAGCAGCACAAATGAAGACTTGTCTCTTTCCAAACGCTCTTAAAGGACGATCGTTTTGACTGTTGACCGTGACCCTCATCAGAAAAATGTCCAACATGAGAAAAGTGGAGCCGAGTGCAGGATTTTACAACAAAAATGGACTTATTCCTGTTTACAGACAAGTTCATGTTCAAACTTTGTGTTGAAATTGTATTTTTCTTAAAGTTTCAGGTTGTTCATAATATTATAATATTTTGTAAAAGAAAGAGTTCATCAATTAAAAATGATTTATGTAATAGATTTGAACGTATTGCTATTTTTGGGGTTTATATGACATGAGTTTTCTGATCCGGCCCCTTTGGGATCAAAGTAAGTTGGACACGGCCCCCGGACCAAAATGAGTTTGACACCCCTGATCTAACCCTAACCTTTACCCTCTAATCCTCTTCTGATGATAAAGGCTGAACATGGATTTTTTTCTGACTAGAGGGTCTTCTGATGATAAGGCTGACCCCGGTAGCTGCGCTCAGTGCCACAACGCCGCAAAGACGTTAACAAATAAAATCACAGGAAAAGCAAACACTTAAACCGGCCTTTTCAATTGAAGTTTTCTATTCATAGTTTTTGTGTCAGATCAGAATTATTTTTTCAGCATCAGCTTTTTCCAGCAGCACTTGTATCACCGTCTTTATAACTTGTGATTTTTTACTGTTTTATTTGAAAATAAATATAAACTTCTTGAGCTCTGTAACTAAATACAAAAATATGTCATGTATTTCTCTGCAGTAATGTAAGAAGAAAAATAAATCAACATCACCATTTATTCTGTTGTTGTGCTTTTTTATACCCAGATTGTTCAAGAAGATCCTGGTGTAGTCCTGGTTTAATTAATGTTTGTTTTTCATTTTTATGTGAATTTGATCATTTTTACATTTTATTTTGAAAACCGGAAGTGCTTGTCGCTCCCGTGTGTTTTATTTTGGTAGTTCCACTTCCTCTCTCAGGAGCCCGTTGGAGACGGCAGAGGGTGAGTTCAGTCTGGACTCAAAAGAATATTTCACAAAAACACTTTTAGCATAAAAACAAGAGCACATGTTGATAAGACGACGTTTCCACATGTAATGGATGTATTATGGTGCATTAATTTTGAGTTTTGTACATTTTATTTAGAATGTAAAATGTTCACGTTAGCTTGATATTGTAACATTGTCCTGAACGGCGGGAAAATGAGCGTCCATGTCACGCTGCTGTTGTGATTCTTACAGGAGCCAGAGCCTGATGTGTGTCCAGACACATTAGAGACTGTTTATACGTCTGTCACAGGTACGTTTCATTTTATTTATGTACAAGTTGTAAACAACTGATTATTTAAAGGTTGTATGGAGGATTTTTTTTGTTTCAAATTGTCAGTGATAGATTATAGATGCAGTCGCCTTGTAATTATGATGACCAAAAAAAAGAGAATAAAAATTCATCAACTCTGGACGTGGTGGGGCTAAACATTTGCCAATAGATAACGACACTGCCTCGTTATCTGTGAGCTGACAGGCTGTCAATCAAACTCCCTACGTTTCTAGAGTAACTGACTTGCCTGCGCTGCCGTTACGTGGTTTACGTACGACTGTCACACAGTCCACAGACGCAAGAGGCACAGACGCTGTTTACTCCACCAACGCAACAGTTCTTAGCGACTTTTTTGACCTATATCTTCCTCGCAGTTCGCACAAAGTTTGTTGCGATGGCGACAAGAATCCAGGAGCAGTTCACCGCAAAAGAAAGTCAGTTTTTGAGGTCACTGAAAGAAGAAGACAAGGGGAAAAGCAGCGAAGCCAAACTAAGGTGATTCTTGTAGATTCATTCCATCGATGGCGCGACTGAAGCAGACGAAGAGTCTAAAGACTGACGCACTGGTCGACAAATTACTCCTGGACAGGAAACTTCTGCTTATTATGAAAACGTACTTTATTTCCAAGAGCGAGACAAACGTTTTTCAAGACACGAATGTGATATCCTATGTCTGAAAACGTCATTTTCAATGCAAAGAAAGAGTCCGCTTGCTGCTGCGTGTTGTAGTAGTAGCTTCATTCGCACTGAATCTCCGCACACCCTTATCTGCTCCTCTCCTCGCTCCGAGTTTCGCTCTTCTCCCTGCTCATCACTTCTCCACCTTGTCTAACTAAACACTGTAGTTAGTTGTTTACAAGTCATGTGCAGCGATGAGGACTTGTTTTCTAGAAACAAACCTGTTTGTGGCGTAAGGAGGAGGCAGGAGGAGGTGTTTCTACGTAGGGGAGGGGGGGTGGTTTCACTCATGCGCAACATTTGAAAAAGGACAAACAGTCGCTGGATTTCTCCTTCCTTGGAAAATCCTCTATACAACCTTTAACTGTCCGTAAACAAATGTCAAAAGAGAATATAAACACATGAACTCAGCCTGCGCTGCTTCAGTTTATGCTATTGCACTTTTTGCCCACTAGATGGCACAATAAGACGAGGAATGGAGAGTGATTCTTCTACAGGTTGAGCTGTTAGATTTGAATAAACCTGTTTATTTCTGTTTGAATTATCATTTTTTCATTGAATGAACATGACTGTATCACATGTTCACCGCTGGAGTCTCTGGGGCTGTGGATAGACCATCACAGATCAGCCTGATGCTGTAGTGGGACAATGAAAACCTCAACAGACTCCAGTGCAGTGAGACAGAGCAGATCTGGTCCTTTCCATGCACCACTGAAACAATCATGACTAAAGGAGCCTTTGTAAAAAGTTTAATGACCAACAGACTGAAAAAAAGATAAATACGCTCAGGTGCATGAGACTGTTTTAAATTTGATAGACGACAACTGACACAGTGTAAGGTTTATTTTGTAAGAGAACTGAATGTGCACAGGGACATCGGTGTTGTTGTTCTGGACTCTTTGGGCCGTATCTTGCCCCGAGTCTTTGTGCTAAACACAAGTGGGCGTGTCCAGGTGGGGCTGTACTTCTGCTGGAGGCTGGAGTGGGACGGTACAAGTACATTTATGGTGACGGCATCTGAACCAATCTGTGAGCGCTGTGACATTTAAAGCACTGCCTGTGTGGGTAAAGTCTGTGATCTTTGCCTCATTATCAGGCAGCAAAGAGGAGTGTGGGGAAAAAGTTATAAATGTGATAATAAAACAGCTCTGGAGCCCCGCGATGCAAGTCCACACCAGCAGAGGCACCAGGAGGATAGAATTTAGTGTGGACCATGACAGAACTGACTGGGTTTGTGACTCACCTTCTGAACTCACCTGAGGTACGAGTGTCTCACTCCCACAGACTCACCTGAGGTACGAGTGTACTCCCACAGACTCACCTGAGGTACGAGTGTCCACCTCTACTCCCACAGACTCACCTGAGGTACGAGTGTACTGACTCACCTGAGGTACGAGTGTCCACCTCTACTCCCACAGACTCACCTGAGGTACGAGTGTCCACCTCTACTCCCACAGACTCACCTGAGGTACGAGTGTCCACCTCTACTCCCACAGACTCACCTGAGGTACGAGTGTCCACTCCCACAGACTCACCTGAGGTACGAGTGTCCACCTCTACTCCCACAGACTCACCTGAGGTACGAGTGTCCACCTCTACTCCCACAGACTCACCTGAGGTACGAGTGTCCACCTCTACTCCCACAGACTCACCTGAGGTACGAGTGTCCACCTCTACTCCCACAGACTCACCTGAGGTACGAGTGTCCACCTCTACTCCCACAGACTCACCTGAGGTACGAGTGTCCACCTCTACTCCCATGCGAGCTCACCGGACGACTCCCCGCACAGCACACGAACATGTTATGAATGTGAAGCATTTATCATCCTAATATATTTCCAAATAAAAGAAGCCTTGAGCAGGTTACATGTTGTTTTTCAGCGGACTCGTTTGATATTTATTTTTACGATTCTGGCAATTCACTAAACATTAACTAAAAGTTACTGAGCTTGTTAAAAGTTATCGTGCGATTAAGTGATTTATTGATTATGGTCACAGGCCTATTCATACATGATTTATATAAGTGAGAGTCACATGAGATGTAAAGCCTGTGTAATATGGTAAAAACACGGCCAGTATGTGATTGTGAGCTTGAGGAGACTGCAGCCAGTTTGCTCATATGTATGAAGACATATTAATAGACAGTGTTTGGAGTAACGTGTTATAAAAGTACTGAGTTACTGTGCTGCTGTACTGCGTTGCTTTTCGCTGTAATGCAGTAAAAAAAAACTGTAATATTTTCCTGTGTACAAATGTGAGTATCGCGCGTCACGGTGCATTTTTAAGCTGGATTGAAGTGGTGAGTTTTTCGTTTTCTTCTTGGTTCCTGTTCTGGTTTAGTCTTGGTTCAGTCCTGGTTAAGACCTGGTTCAGTTCTTTTGGTGAGAGTTAAAGTGCTGTAATATTCGGGTCATGTTTTATATTTTAAATACAGTCATATTGTAATGTAATGAAACAGTTTGAAATGACAGTAACATGTAATAAATACATTTCTTTGACCATGAAGAAGGTGCCGGATGCTGCGAAGAAAACTGTGGACAGGAAACCAGCAATCAAACAAAAACTGGTCAGTGTTTTTTTTCTCCACAATTGAATTAGACCCTCGTCTGTCCTGTAGCTCGTTAAAGCTCCATCCATGAGTGTCTGTGTTCATGTGTGTCTGATGAAAGTTTAGTTTATATTTTATAGTCTATATGTAATATGTATGTTATAGTACATTTGTTATAGTATATATATATGTTATAGTATATATGTTATAGTATATTTGTTATAGTATATATATATGTTATAGTATATATGTTATAGTATATTTGTTATAGTATATATATATGTTATAGTATATATGTTATAGTATATTTGTTATAGTATGTATATGTTATAGTATATATATGTTATAGTATATTTGTTATAGTATGTATATGTTATAGTATATATATGTTATAGTATATATTATGTTATAGTATATATATGTTATAGTATATATGTTATAGTATATATATGTTATAGTATATTTGTTATAGTATATATATGTTATAGTATATATGTTATAGTATATATATGTTATAGTATATATGTTATAGTATATTTGTTATAGTATATATGTTATAGTATATATATATGTTATAGTATATTTGTTATAGTATATATATGTTATAGTATATATGTTATAGTATATATGTTATAGTATATATATGTTATAGTAGATATATATGTTATAGTATATATATGTATATATATATATTTGTTATAGTATATATATGTTATAGTATATATATGTTATAATATATATGTTATAGTTCATTTGTTATGTGTTATCGGGCGGCAACAGCTCAGCTGCAGAACCTCCGGGCGGTTCTGGGGCTGGAGTTGGAGAAGACCTGGACAGCAGAGGAAACTCACTCTCGTGCAGGTTACCTGAGGCTGGTGGTGATGCATTAATGGCCACCGGTGGGGCAAAATCCTCATGGTCCAAGACACTGAATTTATTTGCCAAAGCTTTTCGCTTACCTCACTGCCCAAAGCCATTACGGGCTACAACAATCCAGGGATCTGACCGGACTGGAGTAGAGCTGACCCTAACCCCTCGCTGGAGCCAGTAGTGTTCGTCTGTACCTGCAGTTGGGACGCCGGGGTCGGGCGGCGAGGGTTGTTAGCGGTGGCCCGAGTCTTGCCCAGAACGATATTCAGTTGGCTCTTCACTCGGCTTTCGAACATGCATGTGCATTGTTCCAGCTCAGCCGCCCTCTGACTCAGGACGTTGCAGCTGTCACAGCTGGATGTAAAGGTGAGTGGGTGCATGGTTCACCTGTAGCCACGCAGACGGTTTGGGGTCTACTGGTGCCTTTTGTTGGTTGGCTTAATTTTAATATATGTGCTTCTCAAGGTTAAAACATAGATTCAGGTAATAACCAAAGTCAATAACTACCTCGATGTTTATTATCGATGTCAGACATGTCAGACTAAGGCCAAACATAATTATAACATAATTATATTTGGCCTGTGAGATCATATCAAGTCTGTATCAAAGCTGCTGCAGATCAACTATAGAGACATTATTCATATAAACTGTGTTATTTTATATTCTTTTATATTCTATATTTTATATTCCCTCCTCAAAAACAGACCTAGAGTTGTGTTTTGTTTCATTCACACATGTTTGAGTAACTCTTTATTTTTAATCTTTCTACATTTCCAAAAGCTCCAAATGCTCTGTTCCACTTTGTGATGTCATGAGGCGGTAGTTTTCAGGTGAGCAGCTCCTTTTACCTTTAGTTCAGTAGAGATGAACAATTCCAGGGCTGAAATGATCCAAATGATTCTAAAAACACAGTGGAGCACTTCCTGTATTATGAGGAAATGACATTGTAACACAGATCATAAAACAGTGTAATATGAGCCCATTCATTCAGAGTATTACCTTTCTTAGAGAAATTAGACGAGCTCATATAGTTACTACTGTTAAGACACAAAACTTCTCATTTTGCTTCATGCCACTTCTGAAGAAACAAACTCTGTTTTAGGACATGGATGAAGTGTAAAAAATGTATGATTTCTCCACTGTGTGGATTCTCATATGTGCTTTGAGTGAATGAGACAGTGTGAATTCCTTCCCACACTCGTCAGAGTGTCTGAGTCTGTGAAG